GCTGCCAGCCAGAACTCCCGTGTTTTGTTCCAGATCCGTTGTGCATTTGGACAGTTTAGCAGGCAGTGCTGCATATCTTCTAGTGTTCCTTCCTCACAGACCGCGCAACTGTCGTCAAAGTCCCTTCTAGCGATTTCTGCCCTTCTCCTTCTGAGCCATGTGTTAACTGGCAGAGCATGATAATAGATGAGCCATTGCATACTTCTTATGCGGGTATTTCTAATGGCGAGAGGTATCTGCCAATTGAACTTTTTGGTGTTGCCCAGGCAGCCCGAGGTGTGCTTCTCCCAGCGTTGGACTAGGACGATATCCGTGTCCACCGATCTGCATCTGAGTTTATAGCCAAAGCTGGTGGAATAATCCAGGATGTTGGTGCGCTTCTGTGACCCTAACGGTGTGGATCTTGTCTTCCATGCCCATTCCACTGGGTCAAACTCCAGATCCTGCAAGGGTATTCCGGGTTGATAGGCTCTGTAATCGTCATCCTCGATCACTCTGATTTTCCTGAGGAGATCGGTTCTAGCCGTGACTTGGGCCCGGAATGATTTCGAGACCCTGCTGAGGTTGGACCCCGGCTGTTCGATGTCGTGTATGGACCATAATCCCCAGTCTCACTCCGGTCCTGTTGACTTGACATAGACCAATGCCTTTGAGGGGGTGTGTTCTGATTCCCACGTGGCCCACTCTCCTGCTGCCCAGGCTGGGGGGGCTTGTAGGAGTGTCTTCCAGCCCTGTGGTATGGATTGTACCATCGCCTGCAGGTTAGCTTCTAGGTTATGACATCCTTTGAGGGAATCTCTGAGCTCTGCGGCTGTATTCCAGCGATTGCTTTGGTGTTCCAGATGTGTTTGAGTTGCCAAACACCTCGTTCCAGCCACGATACCCAGCGAGCATCCTGTGTAGTTAGGGTCCATGGTTTATCGAAGGGGTCTTTCAGCCAGTGATTGCAGAAAAGTGGCTGTCGTAGAACTTCCTCCCTGTTGACTGGGCTGCGAACCTTGGCCTGCATCTCTCGCCAGATTTTATGAGGTACATCCAATATTCCGACCGGGTCTGCAGTGGCTCTTGCTGTTGTTCTTCCATCCATGGAGGATTGGTGCGGGCCGACCAGGACTTGGACATCAGCCAGAAGACTCCTTGCATGTTCGGCAGTGTGGTGGCTTTGGGCAGCTGTCTGATCCTGTGCAAGGCCAGTGTGCTCCAGGGCAGACGCTGCTGCAGGAACAGTTTGACAACCCACTTCGTCTGAAGTGCCCTTATTTGGGTGGCCGGGTCGAAGATTCCCAATCCGCCTTTACTCTTTGGTTGGATGAGGTGCACCCAGGCCACCTTAGGTATGAAGCGCTGTGCCGTAGGGTTCCCCGTCCATAGGTATGCCGTCCACCCACTTGCACGTTATTTCAGGAGGCAGAGTAAAAGGGAAGGTATGCTCCTGTGCATTTCTCTTCAGACCTTCATACTCCTGTTCATTTCACTTCAGAGCTTCAGCTTATGCTAAGTCTTTGTGTCCGTCCTTCATCTTCATACTTCCGTTCATTTCATTTTTGATCCTCATATCGTCTGTTCTCTTAACGATGCTCATTCCTATGTATTTGTTAGTAGCACAAAGGGATTGGGGGGGAGGGTGGAGGGAAAGGGATAGAAGGCAGCGTTCTACAGGAGTACGGGACAGGGGAGGAGGGGGCAAAGGGCAGAACAGAGTGTGACATGCAAACGGCAGGGGAGCGGTGTATGACGAACTTCACAGAATTCTAAACATTCAGTCTGTGTCCATGGTTGCTCATCAGGCTTGGTATGTGAATGGGGACATCTTCACATATCCCACCTCATTATCCTGCCATAACTTTGAAGGCATCGATGTCTTCAAGGTCCTTGCGCCGTGTGACGATTGTATTGCCGAGTGCTTGGGGCCCACCTTTCTGGACAGAAGATAGAGCAGACAGTGCCACAAAAGGAAACAAAAAAAGGAACATTTCAACAAATGTAATGACCTGCCAAACACGGACTGAGACACACATCTGATTTCTGAGTTTTGCTCATGGAATGTATGCCTTACTGAGTTTCCCGCTTGTTGCTGAGTTTTCTAAGTCTGTGCGGGTGCGTGCTTGCTGGTCTGCATGCCTGTCTGAGTGCTCGTCGGCTTGAATGTGTGTGTGACGCAAGGGCACTTGGTTGTCCGGAGGGCCCGAAGGGCTGGTACTTACCTGTGGCCGTGACATTGAGGGTTGCAGCGGAGAAAACACTCAAGTGGCGGGGAAAGAGGCCTGCAACACTTAAGAGCAGCGGAAAACACTCAAGTAGCAGGTAGGCCGGTACCACGCCAAGTAGAGGTAGATGTGACGGGTACTCAAGGCCAAGCAGAAGAAGACAAAAGTTGGCATTTTTAGAGGCCCAGTAGTTGTAGGCTAGGTCTAGGCGGGTACCAGTCCAACCAGTCTGAGTCTAGGGCCTATACGGGCAATATCAGAGTCTGCAATGATGTTTCCCTTCGAAAGGGAGGAGGTACCGGTTGCTTGGAGGCCACGCGGCCTAGGAAGTCGCTTGCCAAGAGGCAAGCAGACCACTACATCTCCAGGAGGAGCAAGGTGCTCTTCCTCATTGTCGGTGTGCAAGTTTGGCGGCACACTGGATGGAACGCTGGCTGGAGCAGCGCTAGCTTGGAGCAGCACTGCTGGGGAAGGACCAAGGACACGAGGAGGAAGAAGACCAGGACTAGGAAGGGGGAGCGCCAGAGGTACTTACCTGGCTATGGTGGTTGCCATCTTCATCACCTTGGTAGGCGCTGCGGCAAGAAGGCCCCAGCGGGGGTAGAGCTACAGCAAGAAGTTTCGAGGCAGAGTCAAGCATGGCGGCCTGAGCTAGAGCAGCCATAGCTGCTTGAGTTGTCTTTTGCACATCAGGGCAAGGCCCTACCAGTCCGCCATAGCCTAGGCCTTCGAGAAGAGGAAGAAGAAGGGTGCCATGGCTATGGTGGACCTCATGTGATACCTGCAGTAGAAGAGGGATTCGGACATTGATTCTGGTTCAGCCATTCAACATTATTCTTATTATTTCTTGATTGAATAAGAGGGGAGAAGATAAGGAGGAGAGTGGTTGGTGAAGAAGAAGGGCATTATAATTGGTCTATGCTGGTGTACATCATCTTCTTCTTCTTTCTTTCTTCTTCTTCTTTGATTCATTTCTTTTTGCAATTGGACGGCATTGTACTTTCTGATGAATGTGTACTTCGAAATTGGCCAGGATCATAACACAAAGAAAAAAATCGGAAAAAAAAAAAAGAAAGACAATACACAGGAAAAAGCAAATCACGCACAGTCCAATTCAGCCCGGTTCGTGAGTTCCACAGTTTAATCAGCCATCTCTTCACCTGACACTTGCCCTTCTCCCAACCCTATCACCTTTATGGATT